AAAGAATGGTTTTAACCTTCCCCTATACTATTCTTTTTTTTTTTTTTTAATTGGCTTTGGATGTATTTTAAGAAAAATGTTTCAGTTCAGGTGTTATATACAGTATAGTATGTACCATATTGTGCAAAGATAAATTTTCAGCGATGCAGCAAACCTCTTTAGGATATGGATTTTTGATAGTCAGTATAAATATGGGCTAGGGCACATGTTTGCTCCCCATGTGACAGCGCTCAGTCCATGCTGTATAGATCATTAAGGCACCAAGATCTGGGTAATACTATACCTTGACAGTGTTTACAGGGGAGAGGATGACAACTCTTACAAAACTGAAAGTATTCTCTTGCTCCTTGTGGTGCATACTATGCAGAAGCACATTGTTTTCTCAAGTACAGTGGTGTAGACTTCAGGGAGGTCACAAACCTGGATGTGCTGTATAAAAACTTGGTGCTTGGATCACAAAATTGACTGAGCAGAAGTAGAAATCTATTAGCTGGTAATGTAATTTCCATTAATTTGTTCAGCAACGTATTTGTCTAAAGTTTAGCTGTAAGCTAAATTTGGAAAGTAGGAACTAGAGATTTAATTTGGTTTCCCACAAATATTATATTTTAAAAAGTGAAATGTTACTATCAAGCAACAGTTACTTGCTCCATATTTTATTAGCCATATTAATAATAAGGTTATATGAATTTCCATAAGTACAGGATTGTTCTGGGATACTGATGGTGAAAAATGTGTGCTGCTACACTGGAAAATGTAACTAGTTAGCCATAGACATTATTCAGACTACCTACTAACTGCTACTGCTTTTTATACTGCTATGACATTTTAATTTTGACAATCCCGCTTACAGCTCTATCGCTTATTCCTCTTCTGCTTTCTGACCTTTCACACTGCACTACTATCTTCCTGCTCGTGCTTTTCTTTGCAGCTGAACCTCATTCACAGTGAGATCAGTAATTTAGCCGGATTTGAGGTGGAGGCTGTTATCAACCCTACCAATGCTGACATTGACCTTAAAGATGATATAGGTAAATGGGACGTGGGTTTTATATCAGCTAACTGTTGAGAGACAATTATAAATTTCAAAACTGCTGAACATTAAATGCCTTAATTAAATTGAAAAAAAAAAATAAGCAACTCTACATCTCCAGACTTTTGATGTTCCTCTTTTATAATTATCTCTCACTGTAAGCTGCTTTTTCCTTACATTTCATTTTTACTTTTTCAGTATCTCACAGATGATAATCTCTCACTTTTTCACTACTTGCACTGTTAAGATGCATTCAGTATTGTTCAAAACAATGTTTGATTTCTAAATGAATAATTCACACAACCAGATGACTAATGTGATATTTGAAAACTACTTTTTACGGCAAATATTTACTAGCATTGTCCATGATCAAGGCTAGCAGATCTTTGTAACTTAGCTTTAATAGTGTATATTAAAATTAAATCATGTTTCACAAAGTACATTTTACTGTTGCAGTCTATATTACATGGCTTACATTCACATACAATACTTTAGTTTCATTTACTTGTTTAATATGCTTTTCTTATGCTGTTAATAATAGTTTTCCAACAGCATGTCAATTTTGTTGGAAATTGTGGAAATGTTAGGTCCCATTGAGTTTGCCGTCATCATTATGCTTGTTGTGTGCCATGTAAAGTTATATAAACTACTCGCTATGAACACCTAGGTATTAAATGCTCAATATCAGATGTATTTATTTTACACACAAACAGATTTTACATGTAGTAAGAAAAGTTAGGAAATTATCTTCTGATGAGACTGATAACTCATGTCTTATTAATATTTTTCTTTCCATTTCATTTGGCAAAGTTGGTTGTAGTTTGGATAAAGTTTGACAGTCAACATCAACTTAAAATTATGTAAACATGCTCAACTGTCTTTATAAGTATATTATCCAGGAACCTAAAATGATCTTAGTCAATAGTACTAAAAATTATTATACATTATAAATTATTAAAAATATTGCTACTTTTTCCAGAAATTATTTTTTTTTTCAGTCTTTTCTTCATTCTGTGCTATTAGTGCTCATACTCTTAGAAATAAAAGTCCTACAGTTGTCATAAATAGGTATGTTTTGGTACGTTGGCCTAGCAAGGTAAGGTGAGAAAATAATTTTATTTTAAAATTAGGTTAATTTTTTACAAATAATAAATTATTAAAATGTTTCTGATTATGTAGAAAATCAGATTATAAATGTTACAGCAATATGTAAAAACTGTCAGGCTGGGTTATTTATGATAAATCTGTGGGTTGTGCTTACTCTTCCAACATCATGATCATGAATTTTATGTACAAAAAAGTAATAACTAAGGGGTGTGTTTACCAGTGTTTTCATCTAAGATTCACACAACTCTTACACAAGATTCACACATTTTCACAGACAATTGCGAAAAGTGCATGAACCATGTTGAATGTTATGTGAATCCTGCATGAAATTTTTAACCCTTAAGTCATGCTATTTTATGAATCAGTCGCAATATTTTTAAGATGGCGAAATAAAATGTTCTATAATTTAATTATTTAAAATATACTCTAAGAGTCCACATACTGTAAGGCCCAGGACCTTTTAGAGGGTTGTCAAGTTAGAACACAGGATAAATAATAAAAATAAGGTAATTTGTTGAGAGGTATTACCTACTATCCTTGTCTCATAATCTCATGGAAGAAAACTAGAGACTGATTGTAATAAACCTCTATATGCTAAAGCAAACCTGGTCTTTGCCCATTTAGGGAAAATCAACAGATTTGTTTTAATGCCCTTCCACCTATTAGCATATTATTACCTTTCCTTCTACCCCCTGCTACTAGCTTCAGCTCTTGGAGTTGACAGAAATAACTAGTAATAAGGAGGTGTAGGTGAGTTTACATTACTCCTTGTGATCACCAATCAGTGCTGTCACATCAGGAGCCCATAGCTAAAACTGTAAGCTAGAGTTGTCCATACACCATTAGAATTTTGTCAAAAAAAAATTTGTTTTCAGAAAGTTTGTCAATTTATTCATAATTAGTAGGGTAAAATTGACAATCGTGTTCCACTGTAGTGATTAGAAAAATGTAAGAAGATTTTTCTTTAATGAAAATTAAAATGTTAATATGGTTTTCATTTGTCCTATTTATTTAAATCATATTTATTGCAATTCGCATGTGTATACCAAAATTGAACATATAATTCAATACATTGGCATAACAATCAGATTACATTTTCAGGACCTTAATGGTATATAGACTGTTCTAACGAAAGATTTTCTAAATTTTCGTAAGAGCGTTCAAATTGCAAGCAAGCAACAAGCAATTCATAGCATTCACAGGGCTTTCATTTCACTGCAGGCAGCTGAATAAAGCAGCAAGGGAGCAAAGGAAAGGTGGAGCAGAGTTTCAGTTGAATTAAAAAAAAAAAAAAAATAAGTCAGCAGCTACAAAAACTGTAGCTGGAGACTTTTAAAATAGAGCCACTCACATGTCTTCTCCCCCTGGCGCCGGCATCTTCAGTGTGGGCACCCTGCTGTTACAGCTTGCGGCTTCACAGCCGGGTGCCCACTGCACTTGCACAAGTAGCGCAGCGCTTTGTGAATGGTCCCGTAGTCTTCTGGGAACTGTCACATATCCCAGAAGACTACGGGGAGGGAGGGGGGAGGACAGCTTCTGCTTCTGATCGCCTTAGGCGATTGCACCGCAAGTAGAAGCGGGTACCTGTTAAATTTGGGGACCTGCTCCCCAAAGGTGCCAATCTTTAACGGGAAGCAGAGGACAAAGCCTTAAAGCAGAACTTACCCTTTTTGGTGGAGCTACACTTTAAGTATATGCGTCTGGGGAGGTCTGCCCTAAAGTAAAGCTGTTGAACAGCTTTCATAGCACATATTTTCTTTATGTTTTTTAATGTACCATGAATAATGCATATTTATTAAATATTAGTTGTATTTTAAGTGCAGCTATATACTGATTTATTAAAGGTGTAGACTGATCTTTTAGTAAAGTGAATGTTCGTTGAGCTTGGTTAACAAGGTGAAGCTGCGTTCACTTTAATATTCCAATCATATGCCAACAAATTCTTTTTATTTACACATAATTGGGTATTTAAAGTGAACATAGGTATACCTTATTTATTGCCAATCACTTTGTGGGAATAACTTTTAGTCTTTTAGTAATCTAATCTCACTATGTATTGTTTTCTCACTTATCCTCTATAGGGCTGCATGAGCATTCCTCTTTATGCAGAGTAGCAAAAGGGATGTTTTTCTCAGAAAATAATTTCTGTAGAAAGTGGTATTTTTAGAACTGGAATTGGCATTTAAATGTGTGTAGAATTTGTGACATACTTTAGAGCAGAAAAAACAATCTGTATGCCAAGACAGTGAATGTGCAGGAGCAGAAAAAGGAAGAAACACGCAGGAGCAGAAAAAGGCGCAAAAAGTAAAACATTTTAAAATCGTGCCACACCAAATCATTTAGTACTGTGGTACCAAGCAAGCGGTTTGGTGGCCATAACTAGTGTGCTTTTTCCTAGGTGTGTTAAGGGTGCCATTAACATTTAATGGCACCCACACGTCTAACGAGGGCAGTGCGTTCCTGTGCAATACAGGAAACACAGACAAAATCACATGTTTCTTGCACTGCAGTTGCTGTGAATGGGCCCTTAAGGCTCCAGTACAAATTATATTGTGTGAGAAAATCATAAACTACAACCAACTTATTGTCCTTCAGGTCCAATATGCAATACAATTATTTATTTAGTCATTTGTATGAACAGTGTTATCCAAATTTTAAAAATTAATTTTAAAAATATAATGTTGCCTTCATGAACACCTCCACTTCTGCTCCTTTCAGTATTTCATAAATTAGGTGGATTTCAGTATATACTTAAGTTTTAAAGGTAGGAATACAAGGAACAAGGTAAACTATAAACTAATGAATGCACCATGTGTCCCTTATCCAACCTAGTTGACGTACATGTGTTTGCCTATTATAGTTGCAAGTTGTAAAGGCTGACATTGCCAACCTCGAAAGCGATGCTGTCGTTCATCCGACAGGCTCTGACCTCTACACCGGTGGTGAAGTAGGTAATGAAAAATTTAGTGATGCAGCATTTCATACCTATATACAGTATATGCATGGTTATTTAGGAGAATAATTTGCTGTATTCATGGTTGAGTTAAGATAAACTAAGGGTAAGCATACTAGACAAACACTTATTGCCTACAGCCAGAAGCAGCATGTCTGCAAAAATGTTAAACTGTTTCTGCTAGATGTTTCCTATGAATATTATATATACGAAGCATCGAGTATTAAATTTTTTTAACTTCTAATTCAATCAGGAGATACAGGTATTATAAGGGTTACTGAGCTTTAAGACATCTGCCTCTGACTGTCCAGATACATACAATGTATTGAGTGATTTCGTGATAGTTGGCAAATCAGACAGTGTTCCTAGAGGCAGTTAAATTTCTCTGGTGACTCAAGCTCCTGGCATTTTAAAAAATAGTCACAAATTTAAAGATTACATTCAACCAGTATATACCTGAACTCAAGGAAGATATTAAATCAGAACTAAACGTCCTATCATTTTCAGCCAAGGAAGCTGCCATCTTAGCTGCTTTTTAATCTGCAACTGCCATGGTGCTGCACATGTGATTCGTTATGACACCAGCCATTTGATGGTTTGACAGTTTGGTTGAGAGCACAAGCAAATGTGACAGCTATCTTCCTGGCTTGCCAGGATTGTAACTGTTTTTTGAAATCATTAAATTGATGGGTTAAATTCCATTTTACAAGATCACCATTCACCCAGTTTTGTATTTATTAGACATCAGTATACGTATGTTTTCAAAAGCTAGCCTAAGTATCTGAATTTATCTTTATAGTAAATTCTCATAGTTCCTTGAGGAGCAGGACTGGGAGAGCAATTTCAGTCAGTTATGCTCTTCTGCATTACACAGTACTGTCAATCTAACACTGACAGTATGTTGACAGAAGAAGAGATAGTCAAAAAGAAGGGTCAGTGACCAAGCTGTAATTCTTAACTGCGTGCCTGAATCACAATGCAGGATGAACAGTAAGTATATGTATTTCAACTGCATATTAAACTGTTTTTATATTTAAGGTTGTCATTTTTTTATGGAATCAGTTTTCATAATGGGTGTAGTGTAATCTCTAGCAATCAGTCCTGAGGCACTTCTAATATTAAGAAAAATAACATTTTAATGTAGTCAAGCCTAACATTTTCACTTCCTAATTTATCCTAAAATGTATACATAACAAATGATGTTGAATAGTTATATAAGGGAAGCATTGCATTTATCAATTTGTACATATCAAGTACCGGTCTTAAAGTACAAGTGTTAAAGGTATAGGTTCACATAGCATCATAAGCTTTCAGTTTCTAGGCCCTAATGATGTTAGAACAAAACATTTGTGCTTGTGCAGAAATTACAATTTGTTAACACCAGAACGTGATGCGAGAAATCCACTTTCTGTGCACATTTCCCACACCACGTTCAAAATGCACCGGATGTGCTGTGGATGTCAATGCATTCCTAACACCCCCCAAATGCAGATTGGAAGGAGTAGGAAAGAGGGGAAGGTAGAAGGTATAGGGGGTGAGTGAAGTAAAATGGAGGTGCCTGAGGTTAATCAGAACCTCAAAAGAAGGTTTCTATATATTTCTATAAATATATAAATTGTCAGAAGTGCATAATCAGAATCTACAGGTATATATGCATTATCCAGGGCTTCCGAATTTTTGTGGAATTTATGCCTGTAGTCATGTAACAATGCTGAGAACTATTCATTTGTCAGATACTGAGACAATTTACTCTTGACCTGTGTCACAGAGGGTATGGCTGATTTCCAGGCCTTTGCTGGCAGCTGTTAGAATGAAGGTTATAAGTTTCAATTAAGAGATATTACAGCCTTCCAGCTTCAGCCTTCCAAGAATTTTTCAGGATGCTTTTGCCCATGACTGTAAATGTAAATTGATAGACATCAGTCCAATTAGTGTTATATTTTAGGGCAATCCCACCAGATACTAATATTCATATTTTCAGTGGAAATTAATTTGAAATGATTTGTAGTGAAAATTGTATTTTCACTACATTTTCATTTTTAATTTTCACAGTAAAAATGTTGCTTTGTAATATATCCTTTTTTTTTTGCTGTGGAAGGATTTTAAAGTGGAAGTAAACGCAAAACCTAACTAACTCTAAACCTTCTCTTAGCCTCATTCTAAGCCTAATCTATCTAATCTTGTAAGGTTTAGAATGTGGCTAGCGTAGGTTTAGAGTTAGTTAGGTTTTGCCTCTACTTCCACATTAAGTTTTAGCCAATGAGGAGTTCTGGCTCAGTGTTCATTCTGTTTAATAGACCAATAAACTTTGTTATGCTATATTAGGCAATTTAATTTTTTCAGTTTATAAATGTACTGTATATTACTAAAGAGTTTGCATTAAGTAAATAGATACATGTCAAGCCTTAGATCAAAACGAAAGGGATCACTACTCATCTTTCCAATGGTCCTTCACTGGCGCCGGCATCTTCTCCCGTGTGCTGCTTTTTGGCCATCTTGACTGGCCGGCACAGGATGACATCACTCACAGGAGCTAGTCATTCCAGCACACAGGGATCTGATCAGCCACTTTAAGCTGAGCTCAGTATGTGTAGCTCAGTTTACATTTTGGGGTTTGTTGTGAGCAGGTATGTAGGGGTGTTTTTATTTTTTTTGCAGAAGGGACATTGCATTTCTGTTGCTTGCCTGCTCACAGCTTGTAACAGTGGAACTTCAGTTCTGATTAAAAATGTATGCATTCCAATGAAAGAGTGACATATTACAAAATTGTCCATAGGCGACCATTTAAAAGTCTGAGTTTGCCGTTAACCAGAAATGATGACCAGGGGTGTAGAAATAAAAAACAAAAAACAAAAACTACTTGTCAGGGGACTAAATCAGGGTCCCAATCTACTTGTCCCTCATGACAATGCACTTGTCCTGAATAAAAAATATATATATATTCCTCCCTGCCTGTCTCCAGTTCCACACCCAGGGACTAGGGGAAGGAGGAGACTTTGCAGTGTGATGAGACACTATCCTAACATTCAGCAGAAGCGCACGTCCTGAGCAAATAATTGAGGCGCTGACCCCCCAATGAAAAAAAACAAAAAACTTTGTTCCTTCAGGTTACCCTTGCACTTGGTTGCTCAGTACAAGTGCATGCTGAGCAGCCAAATCAAGCTCCAGTGTAGAATGAAGATCTGTATGCAGGGCAGCAACTGCGTGTGTGCCAAAATCTGGGAAAATAAGCCAAAGCCGAAAAGGTACCTGAAGTCACTTAACTCCTTACATACCGGACTACAACACAGGCACAGAGAGTTTTAGAACTGTTGTGAAATCCTGTATCCCCCCCCCCCATGCGTGAGTTTCTGAATGCTGACCATTAAAGTGCCTGTATTGTAGTCCGGCATGTAAGGTTTTTCCTGATCTGGCACTTGTGCAGTTGCTGCAGGGGATATAGATCTTCGCGCTATGTGAAGCTGTGTAGCCGTGAAGTGGTTAAGAGTAGTGGGCTAGGTCTGGTGTGTGAAGCTGTGTAGCCATGAAGGGGTTAAGTGTAGTGGGCTAAGTCTGGTGTGTGAAGCGGTTTGCCTCTCCTGAGGGAAGGGGAAGCCTGATCCCTGAAATTGCTTACAGAGTTACATTTGTTTTTCTCTGAATTTATTAAAAGTCACTCCTCATCTCCAAAGCGCTTGAAAATTGCCTACTTTCCACTCAGATACACCACATTAACTTGATGGAGGATAATTTGTCTATTTTATTTATTTGCTGGATAAGATATCAGAAACAATCAACTTCAGAGGCTGCTCAGACGACATGTGCTGAAGCCTCAATCCTGGCACACTGAACAGTAGGAATAGGGGGGTGGAGAAGGAGGACAGATGGCTCTTGAGAGGCTTTGCAAGCAGCAGGCTGGCAGAGAGAGCCAAGTAATCACACTGACCATCACAGACACGGGGAAGGGAGAGGCAGAGGAGAGGAAAGGAAATGCAGTGATCATCATCACACTCACTTTGTCAAACACATCAGCTGCAAATGCTCATCCAACTTCAGTGCTGACAGCCGGACTAGAGCTGTTTCTTTCCCCCTGTAGTAAGGTGCATGGCTCCCCAAGGCTGATCATCTGCTTGTACGCAGCAGGGCTAAGTATCAAAGAAAACCACCTGCTCAGCGCCCAGAACTGCATGTCACGGGCGTCGGGCGATACGATTTGCACGGCACAATTGTCACTTGCATTTTAAGGCACATCCACGTGCATTTATATGTTTATATGTACTTTGGGCCATGGGCTTTAAACATTTTTATTAATATTAATTTTATTTAACTTTAAATTTTTACTTAACTTTATAGCTACCACTAGGAGGCAGACAAGCCCCTATTTGACAGCATAACTGGAGGGACAGATTATTTTTAAGGAGACATCAGGGGTTTATTAGCCTGCCTTGCTTATTCCCTGGCCACAGTGGCTAGAGATTTACAGTGCTGAAATGAGATGTAAAAAATACTTGTCATTCATTCATTGGAGGGGCAGTCATTGAATGGATGTCCCTCCACTTTACTTACTGACCGCTGCCTTGGCCCTCCTGTGTCTGCAGAAGGAGCAGCTTGGCCAGAGATAGGAATGCATGATGGAGGGGTAATGGGATCGGGTTCTAGTGTATGTGGAAGTGATCAGGTGGCTTAAGAGCCCACTAAATAAGTTCCTGTGGAAATCCAACAGTCAGCTGAAGATATATGAACACACTCCCTGCTTCTATAGCACCCTAGAGTCTGTTTACAAGCTTGCGCTGCTGCCAACGTAAGCCTAATATTGGTGACAGCCAAAGGTGATCATGACGGCTTTGGCTCGATACCCCAGATAACATTGTAGCCATGTTCCACAGTACAAAATAATGCATAGAAAATAATTAAACTATAGTGTCCTTTAATACTGCTTGGATCTGAACGTGTTGTACTTCTAGGAAGCCAGAAACATGAAAATTACCTTTTTCAGGACTTAAAGTGTATAGAAACCCC